CTAAATATTCATATACAAATTGCACCCCCCTTTGGCTCCACATCTAACCGTTCTCATTCTTTGCCTCCAAATATGCCTTCCTCTGGGATAATATTTCCCTCAAAATTAGATTGTCGTCTAACTTAGCAGTTTTTATAGTCAAATAACATAAAAACTTAACTTCAGAAGATAGTCCTTATTATCCGTCTCCTTCCCAAACACACAACTTTTGGACTTTGAAAAAGGTCCCCCTGGTATATGAAGTGGTTATATTTATATTAAATTGTTTTCCATATATGTCACCCTGGTATCTGAGGTGGTTATGTTTATATAACATTGTTTTCCATATATGTGTATCGGAGGTGGTTATGTTTATATAACATTGTTTTCCATATATGTCTATTTTAAGGTGGTTCTATTTATATTAAATTGTTTTCCATGTATGTAAATTTTATCCTCTATAGAGTGATATTTGCAGCGGTGTTTCGTCCCCTACTCTTTCCAATCATTACTGCCGTTCTCCATTCTTTGTTTTACAATGCTGACGATGGGCTTCACGGTGTCTAGTCATGCTCGTGGCGGTTCTGCTTTTTTCGTCAGCATGTCGCTGGACTATGCAATCCACAAGGTCACCTCTCCGGCGTTTCGGCGATGATCACATGACTCCTACCATTCCCTAATCCTTTCGACCCGGTAATCCGCGATGACCTCCTCCTGTCTCACCTCCCTGATGGTTGAGCATGAAGCCAGTCCGGCGGTGTTACGGTGGGGAACTGTAGCCTCTGCTGCTATATGATTTCTCCAACGGCAAGAAGCGTGTCTAACCCTCATACGTTGTCATCAACTATCCTTTCTCATTGCACTACAACATTCTTATCAACCAACCCCTTTATATTTGTAGAAGCAGTTTTTTCTCCAACGTTTTTTTTTAAGTGGGGGTCCGCTGAACTCTATCCCCGCTTTAATGGTAGGGGTTTTTACACTGCTTCCTCCTTAGTTCACCATACCTTTCAGAGAATAGTGAATATTATTTTAAAGTGACGATATTTTAGTGGAAACGAATTTATCTGCCTTCCATACTAAATACTCCCGCTGTCTATGTGGTTGCTCACAAACAGCAGCATTTACTAACTTTGTATTTATTTTTCCACAGCAATAAATTTGCAATGACGAGTCCCTCTGGGCCTAAAATATAAAGTTTAAGTATTTATTTATAAACTGTAGTTCAATAAACCTTCACCTGACTGAAGTTTCCAGATATTTTATCTGACTTTTGAGATTGATATGGGAAATAGGGACTTGAAAGGCCTACGTATATTTTCTTCGAATTCACTGACTGACTTCGGTTAGATTACAGTTACTACAAACCACAGCAAACGTTTGACTACAAACATTGTCCTACACAATATCACTACTTCTCGCCGTCTTGTGGGGAGAGAGTGCAGTAGATGTGGCGAAAGTCTACTTTCCCTATAATCCAGCGCAAGTCCCGTCCCTGCAACATTGTGAAAATGCAGATTCAGGCTCTTTCCTGTAAAAAGTAAGCTGAAAATTAGCCATTAGATGCTCAACCACAAGCGATGAGAAAATTTCCTCTTTTTTGAAAGCATCCCTTAGACACACGGGATTATACAGTTTTTTGCTCAAGAAAAAAGCCTAAATTAGTGATATTGTCCTCTGAACCTGTTTTGTCTGGAAATACATCGATCTCAGGAAATTGTGAATTAAACCTTTCATATGGCGGAGTAGTAAACGTTCAACAACGAGTGTCAATATCTCTCGACATGAAATGGCAAGACAACGAGCTGGAGGCTCAATGTTTAGGGAGTTAGACACTGATGAAGGAAGGCTCGGAAGGTGGAGTACTTGGGTCTGCGTATGACTGGCCAGCGATCAGAAAAGATATTCCACTTCTTAGTCTCTACCGGAAATACTGTCTTTTTATTTTCATTTGCAGCATCTTAAGTGCCCGTCATAGCCCGCAGTTATCGTGCGGTATTCTGAGCTCTGTGGAATACTTGACATTCAATAGACTCTCTTTGGATAAGATTGTTCTACATTACTTTTAATATTAAGACAAGTGCAGTTTCAATTCAGCAAAACCTGGGACGCAAAGTTTTGGTCAATCTGCCGTTTCCTTCACCTGTTCCTTACGATGCGTCAACTATCGTTGCTATGCTACGGTTAGATGTGTTACTCGTGTTGCTTATTGGCTGAGAGAACTTACACATGGCCCAATTGATGACAAGCTAAAGGTCATTCCGTGTGATCTGTGTGAATAATTTCTGATGGATCGCGACTTCAGCCAAATAAAGTTTGGCAGTATCCATGATTATTTAACGGAAGTACGAATATTTTAAATCTATTTCTTTCAAAGTTCTTCGAATACTATGGCATGAAAAAGTCAAAAAATGCTCTCGAAGAAGAATGGAATACAATGGCTAAGGATAGGTTTGGTATTAACGATGACTGGCGGGTATGTCAATATTTCCGTTCACCTCCATGAAAGATGCGTCTACTGAACAGTTTTCAAAGTGGAGATAGTGAATCCTTCAAAGCTATCTGGGAAGGATACTGCGTTACAGAATCTGTCCAACAAACGACTGTCAGGCCGCTAGAATTTTATTTATTGCTTTATTTCATAGTAAAGAACTGGGATATTGATAGTGATGTAAGCCTTATAATGATTTTAAACTGTTAAAGGAAAAAAGAAAACAGCGGTTGAATGATTTCCGGATTTTTTTAGAGACGAAAGGCGAACTTTTGAGTCAAATCTCGGAATTCCTTCCCTTTTATGCCTTTCCCTATGTCGTCAATCCCAAAAATCACCCGGTATACCGCGAACTTTTTGAACCCGAGTGGGCAGCTGACCTCAAGAAGAAGCTGTCGGCTTTTCTGGAAACAATAGACGGCGAAGAGCAACCACTTCCAAAGATACTTTTTCTACAACAACCTGATGATGTACATAGAAATGTTCAACTCAAACAGTTACAGGTACTAGTAAAAGTCTGCCATATTAAAATAAATTATACGTTTTTGCTGCTTAGTGATGTTGAAACAACTATCCGCCTTTGTGGAAATAATGGATACTTATGATCTATTTTGCTTTACATCGTTCTCCATATTTTAGCAAAGTGATTATAAAACAAGGAATGAAGAACTTCTATGTTAAGCACCGCATTCTTGCTGTGGCGAATTTCAAAGTAGAAATGCAGTAATATGCGGTACGCAGCGAACATTTATTTGTTGGTTTAGTAAAATTTAGATGGGATCGCGAAAGCGATTTGTAGAAAGTTTCATACAATGAGTGCTTGGCATCTAGTCATTTATTTAAGACGTCCCTAAATGTGACTTATATATGTTTGAATATTTTATGACGGACTACTATCGGTACTCACAATTCTAAGAGGGCATTTTACAAAATTCTTTTCAAGGTCCTATTGTCCAAAATTTGTCGATTTTCTGGTCCCGAAATTCAACTGTAAAACAAATTCAACTTTTATTATAAATGGAATTTTTTATATTTTTTAATTTTCAAATAATTTAGAACCGATTGGTTGATGCAGAAAAACGAGCATCCCAAGCGCATCAACGGTTTTCTAAAATTCAAAACGATTACCAGAGTCTACTTGGTATTACAACCGATTTGGTGGATACACTTGAAGCCGCTTTGCGAGGGGAGCAAATTCAAGGGGACGTTTTGCAACAAATTTGTTCTCGGCTTGTCGCCACACAGCGGGGTACTACAATCTGGCCGACCGACAGCTATGATGAAAATGGTGGACTCAATGGAACGTCCGCATCCACAAATGATGTAGATTTGTTTAGCTATGGGGCCACTCTACGTCAGTCCTTACGATACGGAACGTCAAATTCTCATACTCCAAAAATTGGGACTGGGGAAGACAGGTAGGCATGTGCTTCAAATATATTCAGAATATCTAACATATACATATACTGACCGTATAGACGTAAAAACGTACAATTATGAGAGTGTTTTATAACTTTGATGAGCTTGCAACTAAATTATTAAAATGTACCCTTTGCCACCTTAGATCCTTATCCGCATCATACGTTTGCTGGGTACACTTAATATAAACAGTAATTTCATCAGCACCCCGATTTGCCTGTTAATACTGCACATACTGTTTGCCTTTGTTGTATACCGACAGGTATACATAGTTGAAAATCCTTAAACAACAATAATATAAACTTCGAATATCCGTTGTTCATTTAGTAAAATCTGCCGAATTTTCGCACATTGGCTAAATAATTTGTAATTTCCTACAGCACAATAAATGCATATTCTTAAGAAGGAAAAAGAACGTTCATATACCTAGGGAAGAGTAAGGGCTTTACTCAATGTCTTCTTGTAAAAAACAAAGAACTACTTGCCTCTTTCAAATGCATAATAAATTAAATTGCAGGAAGTAAAGTTTTCCCTCAATTCAAACTTTAAGTATAGCAGTTCTGAAGAAAAGCAGTTCTGTCTGGCTTAAACTTTGTTTGGTTTTATCATGTTTTTCTACAAGTTAATCACTCCCACCAATGGTGGCTTAAGCGCCGGTGTCCGAACTTGCAGAAATCTTTCATTTTAACCTGAGTATGAAGGTGTTATGGTGCCACTAACCATTTATTATATATGGTAATAAATTTTGTTTGATTGTTCACCGATCAACAACCGGCAAGACAGCGAACTCGATGGCTCAATGGTTAGGACTTCTACCCCTGGCCAGAGAGACGCGAGTTTGAAACTCGAGTGCGGCGGCTATTTCAGCTGCTACATTAGAGTTGGGCTACTCCTAGCTAATGACGGCCAAAAGTCAGAAATACGTATCCTAGGATTGCCTTCTGCCTTGCCGGAATACTACTAACATAACATGGTAATAAATAAACTTCGGCCTAGGAAGTCTGTTCTATAAACCTTAACATTAATCTATTACATGTTTTGAAGCTGTTCATTTCTGAAGACGTTATTGGGCGCTTGGTTGAAAGTATCATATTACGCATTGTTGTTTCGTAACAATAGACAACACACGGGGTTATTTCGAGTATTCACTTTATATATGTATGCGCAACGACATCATTTAAGGGTTTTCTATTGTCGGAAACATTCATAATCCGTCTTGTCAGATTTTTCGAGCAGTACTTCTAAGAGAACAAATCCCTTTGCTAAAATAAGCTGAATACTAGGCATAGTGTGCCCTTCCCATTTTCATACGCCCTAAAACTCGTAGTTTTTTGACTATTTAATCGACTGTGTAGCGTTGCACCGTGCAATTTAGTAAAACCGCATCACATCTAAGGAAAGGCTAAAGCCTTATGCCTTCAGAGGATATTAGGTCTTTATTATTGCAGTGACCCAAAATACATCGTTTTGTTTAGATAGACGAGCAGGCAGTTTCGTGAAACTGGACTGTTTAATTATTTACCTCAAATGTTTCAAAATTTACGGGAAATAGACTGTGTTTGCTTCTAATCTGCTTATTGAATGACTTTATCTCTGTTAAAGTCAACTATAATCCATGCTCGTGAGATAAAAGCCCTATTTATTTCAAGTTTTTGCACTTATTTTGGAAGCGTTTACATTTGCAAATATGTCTCACTGATTGTGCAGCAATG